CGTTCTCTGAGGATGATGACAAACTAGAAAGCCCTAGACAGCCCCTCGCACGGTATTTGGCACCCAGTTAATAACTACTTGAATGGACCTAACTCGAGTGGTTAGGGGTGGTACCCCAGGGCCTCTGAAAGAACTAGGAAAGAGGAGCTTGGAGATAGCTCTCATCAAGTATCCAGAGCTCTCAAGTGGACGAGAGACTAGATTTATTTCATGTTTTTCCAGAAGACAGACCAAAGACTCCAATGGGTTGGCTCTTCGGGTCAGTTTACGCATTGACCAGGGCTGTTCTTCAGTGGAGCGGGCGGACAGTAGGTCCTAGGACAGTGACCAGCCGTCACAGCCCATTTCATGACAGAGACCAGGGCCCGACGTGAGGCGGACTGCAGGATGGCCTCCCGCACTGGGGGCAGAGCCAGCCTTGCGGTCTGTCCGTTCCTTCCAGTGATTTTCCTCCCCGTGCGGCCCAGACAGACAGCTGGCGCCGTGTTTTTGCAGCTTTGCAGAATCAACATTGCAAGGGCAACTATTGCTCTAAAAACAGTGTTTAGTGGAATCTTCTGAGGATACTGCCTCCAGTGAGAGAAAGCCCTTTAATTTGCCTCTTTTTAAGCCTTGCATTTTTTCTCTTCTCATCTTTTTGTCAGTTGGCCTCATAAATATTCATAGAGGAATTGACCCAAAATAAGTTATTCTAAAAATCTTTCTGAAGCCTTTCAGATGTGCTTCAAGTAATTATTTGAATTATGATCTCTGACCAGTTAGTTATATTATTATAAAACCAGTGAGTAATCTGTTTTGAAGTTATTTTTTAAATTTTAATCAGGATTTCAGAAACTGTAGGATCTGGTGTGAAGGAAGAATCACTTTCTGTCCATCTCCAGCCCCAAGTGCTGTGCGTAACCCAGAGCTCTCGCACTTCCAGCCGCCAACCTCGTCTGCTGGCCTCCCCAGCTGCCAAGGTTGGAGGCCAAGCCGAGCTGGAAGCGTAGGTTCAAGCCCACAGCCCAGAGGTGACCTGGAATGAAATGCACAGCAGGGGGCCTTACAGGTGGGCAGAGCCTGAGGTAGCCCCTTAAACTGTGAGAACAGACCGAGGAGCCCTGCTGTCTGTGGGACACTGTGGCCGCAGACACAATGGCCTGGGAAGCAGAGGCAGGCCCAGAACACAGGCGGTGGCATCCCTGGCTGTTCTCTCTCGTTTTCCTTGTAGACTGTGTAGTGCAACAGCTGCTAGTTTTGCCCACACATGATCACCCTTTGTCATTTTGCCTCATGGAGAAAATTCTTCTTTTGCCAAAAGTCCTTCTTCATCAAATGCCTGCCTTTCACTCACTGAGGGGTGGACAAACAAGCGGTGTCCTTGAGACTCGTCATCTAGAACAAGAAATCCCAGAGCTGAGCCCTGATGTCACATTGGTGTGTTTTCTGGGAAAGTCTGAGTTTTCAGGCCACTAATGGGGTGTGTGATCTTGGGAGAGTAATTTAGCCTCTCTCAGCCTCAGTCCCTTCATCTGTGAGAAAGAGCATCACAGGGCCTTTTGGCGATTTTGGGGCATGTAAGCACGCACTGAACCCGGAGTTTGGCATATAGAAGGTTTTCAGTAAATCTTAGCTACTGTCATTATTTTTAGCTGTCATTAATTTAGACAGGCTTTAATCAAGTTACCAGTTTCAACTGTTGAGTATTTCATTCTTTATTATTCAAGACTTTAACTGTCGAGGGAAGTCCAGCTATACCTTCATGATGAACTGTGCTCAGGACCCCGGAAGATCAGCAGGGAGAGGGGTTGTGCTTTCTCTCTGTGTCTGTAGTCGGTCACCCTCGTCACTTGTCCGGGCAGGGAAGGGAGGGGGAGGACTCACACTTGATTGAAAAACAACAATAGCAGGAATAGAATAACCCTTCCTTATCCAGGGCCGTCTTTTCTATTTTTAGGGGTTTTATTGTTGTTCTCAAAGAAACAGAAGCTAAAATATGATGTTAGAATTTACAATCGTCTGATCCTGTGGGTGAAATTCCAGGGTGAATGTCTGTCTTTCAGAGCTTTGGTGCTACAAACTTCACACTCCTAAAATTCTCTGCCCTCAGAGAAGTCGATGACCTGGGTTGTGGTGGAGTCAGAGAACTGTTTTCTCACCGCCTTTTTCAAGCCTGTTAAGAGGCTTGAAAAAGCCCTTTTGTTAGTAGTTGTGAATTTGCTGTCATTTCACTGTTCATATTTTTTACCTTCTTTTTCTTAGATAAGCCCCTCTAACATTTCGTACAATAAGGGCTTGGTGATGATGAACTTCTTTAACCACGACTATTAACAAATGAACCTAAAAGAAAAGAAAAACAATGAAAATAAAAACTAAGCAAACAACAAGGACAGGAACAGAATCAGAAATGGGCATCACACAGAGGGAGGGATTTCAGTGGGGAGGGGGAAGGGGGGGAAGGTACAGGGAAGAGGAAGCGTAGTTGGTAGGCATAAAATAGACGGGGAGAGATCAAAATAGTATAAGAGACAGAGACTCAAAGAACTTACATGTACAACCCATGGACATGAACTAAGAGGGGGGGATGCTGGAGGGTTGGGGGGCAGGGTGGAGGGGGGATAAAGGGAGAAAAATTGGGAAAACTGTAATAGCGTAATCAATAAAAAATACTTTAAAAAAAAAGAACCAAACAGCGCTCTGAGCCTGCTGAGCTCTAAGCAATCTCCAGTCATGGATCCTCCAGTTGTCCCCTCCCACCTCCAGTGAAGTCCAACTCCTGCGCCCGGGTCTCCAGGCCCCAGCCCCTCCCTCGGCACTGTCCCCACTGTGTCCTCCTCTCTGTGGGACCCTGTCTTCCCACTCTCTGCACTTCCTCTCCACGGTCCCCAAGTCCTGCTTCTGCTCATTTCAGAGCCTTTCTCAGGCCATTTCCCTCCTCTCCCCGACTCATATAGTCTGCCATCTGCAGGGTCCACTTGACAGGGGGCCATCGCTGTTAGCTAACAACACTGGGTCTGCAGGAGTGGTTCTCAACCTTGGCTGCACACTGGCGTCGTCTGGGCAGCCTAACAAAGTCGCCGGTGCTTGGGTCCCATCCCCGGGGGGTTCGGGTTGCATGGCTGCGCAGTGCGACCTGGGCATCAGGATATGTTAAAGCCCTCCCAGGTGATGGACTGTGCAGCCAAGGTCGAGAAGCCTTGGTCTGCAAACCCATTCAGCCCCCAAGCGGAGCCTGTGTTCTAATAATAGCCCCATGACTTGTATACTACAGTGTTTTAAATGGTTCATGTGAATATAAAAAGGATTTAAGTAGCTGTTTCCATTTTGTGTAAATTTGGTAGATTTAGGGGCAAGAGGTTCTGCTTTGACAGTCTAATTCTAGAGCCCCTCTGGGCTCACCTCATAGCAGCAGCAGCTTGAGCCAGGCATTGTGCTAGATGCTTCTTTAGCTCGTCGCATTCAGTAGCCCCCTGGGACCCTCCCATCAGGCCCATGTGTGTGCCCTGGTGTTTGCCCTCTCTGATGACTGAGGGGCCTGGGGTCCAGAGAGGCTCAACCACCTGCCCAGAAAACAGCGCTAGACGTGAGCACACTCTGCCCCAGCTTAACTAAACAAGTTCCTGGGGAATAATGATGTACCTGCTTCAGGTTTGGGGTGGGACTCTTTTGAAATTGGGTTGCATTCCTTTGCATATCAAGAGCATCCATACATTTTATTTCAGCTTCGCTCCCAAGTTGCCTAGATATATCCAGGACTGGGAGGCCATTTCCCAACTTAGTTTTTTCATGCATGCCTCTTTCAGAAGACGCTGTTTTAGAAAAGCATCTTGCTTCTAGAACCTAATCTAGGAGAACCTACCCCAGCTTTTACTTTGTCTTCCTCATACTTCTGTGAGGTAGTGAACAGGCAATACCACCCCATTTTGGAGAGAAGGGGACTGGTGTGCCAAGTGTTACTATCTACTAAATATGAGCAATAGCTATCACAAATTGAGTGCTTCCTAGGTGGCCGGCTCAGTGCCAAAGTGTTGACACACTATATGATTATCCCCATTTTCTAGATGAGGAAACTAGACCAAAAAAAGTGGAGCTATTTGCCCAGGGTGTAGTTAGTAATTGGGTACTATGTTTGTTTGCTTGCTTTAAAAAAAATTTTTAAATCCTCACCCAAGGATATGTTTATTAATTCTACCCCTGCTCCTCCCAGAGAAAGGAAAGGTGGAGGAGAGAAACATGGATGTGAGGGACAAATATCAACGGGCGGCTTCCCATACACACCCCAAATGGGGACTGAAGTCACAACCTTTCGGTGTATGGGACAGCACTCCAACCAGCTGGGCCACCCAGCCAGGGCTGCTTGCTTGGTGTTTAAACTCTTTACCAGCACAATGGAAGGGCACGGCTTCGTCGGCCGCCTTGCCATGGCCGGGCCGGCCTCCGGTGTGTGTGTGTGGTGGCCACTGGACAACCATGTCAGGAATAAACCACCGAAGCATGAACTGAATTTGCTTTCTGTGTGTCAAATGGCCATTTAATAGCTATTGTGAAACAGGGAATTTTCTGCCAACCCTGAATATCGTACTGAGGTCAGGCAGGCTCTAAATATTCCTTTTCCTGCCAGGCCAGTACAAGGCTGCTTTGGTGTCAACAACCCCTGAAGGTGAGAACTGGCTCTTGCAGCATTTCCACACTCCATGCATCCGAGCCCTGCTGTTTCTCACAGTTTCGGATTAACGACAAGCACCCTGTCCCTGCCGCTGCGGCACTAAATGCTCAGGACAGAAACCCATCTCCCCATCTTGCTCATTTTGAATATACTGACTTACATGCAAGCATAGGAAGCCTTGTTCTTTTCTGGTTTGTTAAAATATGTACACACACAATTCTGTAGGAAGGCTAGCTAACTCGAAAGGAGGAGGTTGGCAGTGTGATGAGTGGGTGGAGTCTCAGGGAAAAGAGATCAGGGCAGGGTCACTAATTGAGTGCAAACCTTTTTAAAAATGTTGTTTATCCTCCTACAGGGCATACAAAACCATTGAGGATGATGACTTGAAGTTTCCCCTTATATACGGAGAAGGCAAGAAGGTAGGCGTGTTCGCTTCCCCAGACTGACAGCGAGGCCGGCTCTGCTTAGCCCGTGGCAGTCTGTGCTTCCACGCAGCAGCTCCTGGCTTTGTAGGTTTGACAGCTTGAAAGAATATCCCTCCATCATCCCTCGGGCCTCCTGTCTTTAGGGTCCAAGGAGTGGCAGGATGGGGAGGGGTACGCAAGCTCAAGGGACGAAAGTCAGTTTTATGAAAATAACATTTCTCTTTTTAACCCATTTGCATAACGTTTTTTAAAAGATTTAATTTATTTATCTTTAGAGGGGAAGGGAAGGAGGGAAACATCAATGTATGGTTGCCTCTCGTGAGTCTCCTGCTGGGAACTGGCCTGCGACCCAGGCATGTGCCCTGACTGGGAATCAAACCACAATCCTCTGGTTTGCAGCCCCAAGCTCAATCCACTGAGCTATGCCAGCCAGGTGCATAACATTTTATAGTGTGTAAACATGACCACATTCACATACATCTCTCTCTTTTTTTTTTTTTTTTTTTTTTAAGATTTGATTTATTTTCAGGGAGAGGAAAGGAGGGAGAAAGAGAGGGAGAGAAACATTAGTGTGCGACTGCCTCCCATGCACCCCCTACTGGAGACCTGGCCTGCAACCCAAGCAAGTGCCTTGACTGGGAATCGAACCGGCAGTGCTTTGGTTCACAGACTGGCACTCAATCCACTGAGCCACACCATCCAGGGCCACATGTATCTCAGTGTATACCTGATAACAAGCCACAAAGCAGGCAGAGCTGGCTTTATGCTGTCCATTTGGTAGACGAGGTTAAAACTGCTTAGGCAAAGCCACCCAGCCAGCAAGGGACGGTCCCAGGTGTGGGGCCACGGTCCTCTGCCTCCTTCTCCGGCTCTCACACTCCATCGTGGAAGTTCATGCCCTGTGAGTCTGCTTCTCCACTTGCCCTGCAAAGGGGATCCAGAGCCTCAATGTGACTAAGCCATAGGGGTCACCTGAACCCAAGCCCAGGCGCACGGCACTGATCATTCATCACCAGCTCCCAGGGCCCCCGCCAGCATCACACTGAGCAGCAGGCACAGCGTTGCTGTGGAGGGAAGCTGTCAGTCTTCAAGTGGGCTGTGAGCAGAGACCGGGGGCGGGCGCAGCCCTGGAGCTGAGATGAGGAAGCTTTGAAGCTGTGTCCCCTAGAACAGACGCCTTCTGAATCACTGCATTCTTCCTGCAGACACAGATACATTTCAGCTAGGTGCTGAGAGTTCCAATTAGCGGTGAAAAATGTGGTCAAATTAAGAAGAGTGTTCAACTGAAATTTTTTTTAGCATTTGATAGTTTTTAGCAGGAGGAAGTGACTCATAAGAAAACTGAAAGATGCCTTTCTGAGCAGAACTTGAGCGTGTATTGGTGTGTGTCTGTGTGTCTGAGGGAGAGAACAGGTAGGTTTGGGGGCTCGGTGTGGCCCTGCAGTGATTTCATTGGAAGGAGGCATTTTCTGGAGGGAAATGAAACGTGAATATCTGATCCATGCAGGGATCACCTTTCCTGGAGGTGGGACAGCTCCCTCCTCACTGTCATGGCTGAGGATCATGACAGGGAAGGGCTCTGTTCCTGACAGAGTGATCTGAGCCTTTCAGTGCAGGGCGTGCCACTCCCGCGGGTCACCCAGCCCAGGGACCTCCACGTGCTCCTACAGCGCTCTGCGGCCAAGGTTCTCCGTGTTACCCTGCTTTACCCAGTGAGCTCAGGGCCACACCCTGTTGTGTGTGTCCCTAGTACTGGTCTAGCCTGCTACCTGACAGTCCTTCAATAAACGCATGGGTATTAAGTAAGCTCTTCAGCGATGCTCAGTATACTCTCCTTCATATAACAGGAAACTGGACATATGTGTTCTTTGAAGGTTATCAGTGATCAGATTAAAGGAGCAAGGTTTTCCCAGTTAGGCAGAAAGTTCAGTGTCCCCGATGTCACACTCCTCAGGCGTTTCATGAATTCAGGCTGGACAGCTGTGTGAACGGAGCCGGCAAGTTCTGTCTCTGGGGCTGCTGATCTGTTTCTGAGCCACCGCGGCTCTCTCTGGCGGCTCTAGGCTTGCCCCGCACCACAGAAGCGCGCCGCCCCGTGTGAGGACTCCACGGCATCGTGGAACGGCTCCACCGCTGCAGCACATCAGTTCCATCTGGATCCTTTACAGGGGTTTTCTCTGTTCTGTGTACACCTCCCCAGCAGTTTCGGGGTACTTCTGCTTGGGCAGCCGTTACTCTCCATTTATTTCTGCCAGTGCTTCTAAGGACTTGGGTGGGTGACACCTATGTACTTGGTAAACACATTCGGTCACCAGCAGAAGCATCAGATTTCTTTGCACCAATACGCCCACAGAGAAGGTGCCACTGCAGGGGGAGGGCAGGGACTCTGAGGCCCCGCATTTTGAGGAGGGGAGCTGGTCCAGCTTCCCAGCAGAGCAGAGGGTCTGCAGGGGTCTCTGGGCTTCACATCAGTGTCTGCATTTTGCCCCTTCAAGTCTTGCCTTTAAAAAAGTGTTTCATGGGCCCCTGGCTGGTGTGGCTCAGTGGATTGGGCACGGGCCTGTGAAGCAAAGGGTTGCCGGTTTGATTCCGGCACATGCCTGGGTTGCAGGCCAGATCCCCAGTAGGGGACACCTGAGAGGCAACCACACACTGATGTTTTTATCCCTCTCTCTCTCCTTCCCTTACCCTCTCTTTAAAAATAAATAAACAAAATATATTTTTTAAAAGGCATTTCATGGTTTCATTTCCACTTTTAATGTAAACTTACCCACCTTCTAATCTGAAACCAGCTCCAAACTTCACAGATTTTTGGGGGAAACCAAGAGGAATATGATGGTAATATGTTAGATTATAATGCCCTTAGCGTGTGTTATTCTTTTTTTAAGATTTTATTTATTTATCTTAAAAAAAGAGGAAAGGAAGGAGAGAAACACTGATCAGTTGCCTCTTGTCCATGGCCTGACTGGGGCCCGAACCTGCAACCCAGGCATGTACCCTGACCAGGAATTGAACTAGGGACCTTTCCACTTGCAGGATGGCACCCAGCCATCTCAGCCACAATGGTCAGGGCTTTGTGAGTTGTTATTACCCAAGTCATAGAGCGGGGCTTCAAGCTTGGGCTTCTGAACCACGACACCGCAGCGGATGTGTGATTGGTGACCCAGGTGTTAAGCCATTGGGCTGCACGCCACCCAGAACGACCTTCACTCCATCCTCCTGTGTTTGCCTGGCTTGATGCTGTGCATCCTTCTGTGCAGGAGTTCGGTGCCACCTCCAGGGAACCTCCTCAGCAGAATTTTTACCTCTAAACTCACCTTGCCCATTGCTTGTATGTCTTTCAACACTGGGCCATGTTCTGTATATCCTTACACACATGCCCCTCACCTCCGTCACCAAGTTCCTTCATAGTAGGGCCAAGTCCATAGACATCTGTGCCCTACAGCATGGTGTCTGCACTTAGCAGGTGCTCACTAAATGTTTGGGTAAATCAAACCCGTGGCATCCCGGGAGGTAGTAAGGCTGACCGTGTAGGCATTAGAGTAGTAGTCTTGCTTCCTTAAAGCGAGACTGTGGTTACAGTGAAGTGACCTGTTGTTCCTTTCCACCCAGAGGGACTCTGTGGAGACAGGGTGGGTTACAGAGCCGCTAATGGTTGGTTTTCTCCAGCCATGAAGTGTAACACGTGAGCTTCGGGAGGTCAGGGGCTGCTGCCGACTGCTTTACATGTTTTATTAGAGCCTGTTACAGACCCAGAGACATAGCTGGTGTTCCACAAATGCTTGTAGAGTGGGTCTGTAACAGACAGACACTGTCAGATGGGGTCTGAACTAATTTTAGTGCTGTAGGCATGACACATGTATTAGATACAGTTTATTGGGCACCATTCCCTCCAGTCCTACAAAAGAAAGCTGAAAAGAGATGACAGCAACCCACCGAACTTAAGATAATTGGTGGAAAAGCCACTCCGTAAGGACATAAGTGATCTTGGTGAGTCCTTCCTTGGAAACAGCGACCTACACACATTAGTAGCAAGGCGCACAGGGAGAGAGGCAAGAGGAATCGGAAGATCATTGCTTCTCTCTCTGCCCACATGGCTGTGTCAGGACGGGAGCCCTTTGTCCGTGGGTGTGAGTGTTTCTCATGACCCTCTGCTTTCACTCCTAGGCCCGGGTAATGGCGACAATCGGAGTGACCAGGGGCCTGGGGGACCACGACCTGAAGGTGCACGACTCCAACATCTACATAAAGCCATTCCTGTCTGCAGCTCCAGAGGTACCACATGAGGTTTTTGTTTCTATTTCGTACAACAAAATGCCTCCCGTGACTCACACCCAAGTGCCCAGACAATAGTGGACTTGTGCTGCGTGGACTTGCATAGTGTCTCCCACGGATGCTTCTTTCCCCCACTCCGTCCGCACTTAGTTCTGTTTCACGCCCTCACTGCCTTTGTCCTGGTGGCTGATTAGCCCCACTGGCATCTGCCCACCTCCCCAGTCCACCTAATTGCTATCAAGTACATTTTCCTAAACAACTACTCCGACCCTGTTTGCTTAGAAGCTGTGAACAGCACCTCATGACTTGGAGAATAAAGCCCAGACTGCTACTCTTGGCATTCAGGGCTTGTTATAACCTGGTCTAACATTTTTCTTTAAGATTTTCTTGCTTCCTGTAGAGAGAGGGGTAGGGAGAGAGAGGGAGAGAAACATTTATATGTGATAGAAACATCAACATGTTGCTTCTCACACGCCCCCAGCTGGGGGTCTGGCCTGAAACGTGGGCATATGCCCTGACTGGGAATCAAACTGGTGATCTTTTTGGTCCACAGGCCAGCACTCAGTCCACTGAGCCACACCAGCCAGAGCTAAACCGGTCTACCTTTTTCATCTGATCTTTGTTCTTCTACTACAGTCAGGAGGAATTTACTGTTTTCCATACATGACCTTCAGTTTTCCATATTTACTTAGCTATTCCCTCTACCTGTAATGCCCTTCCAGCCCATTTCCACACATCCAAATTATTTTTTTTTCTCTAGGGTTTAACTTAAATGCTTCTTCTCTGGAGACTCCTGATTCCCCCCTCCCCCAGCCAGCAGTGAAGTCTTCACCCCACTCCAGATACACAGGTTATATCTGCCTCTTACAGCATTTTTACAGCATATTCGTGGTGTAGTTGTTGGTGTATGTACTTTCTTCCCTCTTAGATTTTTAATTACCTGGAGAGCTGGTATCATTCAGTCGATGTCTGGAGAAACTAATTGTGAACAAGTCATAAATTTAGTTAAAAACTCATTTTTCTTACAGTACAAGAAACAACATCAAGTTCTATTTCAGAGTATGTAACTTAGAATAAGATTTCACTTCTGAGTTGTAGAAAAATCTGATGGCAGTGTAGGGGTGTATCTTCTTCATACAACAAGGAGGCTGTAAGTTGGTGGCTGCTAGTGTTGTGACGGCACCTCCGATGTGCCAGGGCCGGGACGTGCTCGTCCGACTCGCGCTTTGTGGTTGCACGACCGACCGTGGTAGCAGCTCTGAGCACAGCACCTTCTTACAGGGCCGTGGGCGGCGGTGGCTGTCTGAACAGATACTCACTTGCAGGTCTTTGGCCAGAACCGTGTCCCATGACCTCCCCTCGCTGCAGGGAAGGCTGGGAGGGAGAGAGCTTTAACTCTCCCAGTTTCTACAGTGGGAGGGAGCAGGGAGGAGGGAGTCGGAGTGCAGCCGTGTTCGCCTCCTGTGTAATCAGTCGTTACAGCAGTGCCTGGCCCTGGGAATGCCCCGTGTTTGGCTGTAGCTCCACCTGCATGTTCTTCCCAAGGGTAGGTGCTGTTTGTTTTAGTGAAGGCTCTTTCTGTGGGAGGAAACAGGAACCCGCTCTGGCTGACTCAGAGAAAGGGAAATGTGTATGTTGTTGGTATGGGAAGAGATGTCTATGGTGTCTACAGGCAGAGACCTTGAACAGCCAGGCTGTATGGAAGGGTGCTTCTGGAGCAGGGTCGTCCCAGACAGCTTCAGCAGTGGGCATCTGTCACCTTCATGAGCGTGTTCTGTCACTAATGTGACCAGCTGTGCTGTGTATGTCTCTGTTACTGGTCAACCCAATTTCTCAGTCTCCTGGTTCCACATGACCCGGGAGGAACGTCACTGGCCTGATTCACCCCAGATACTAGGCTGCAAGCGCCTTTGCCGTCGTAGATTGCCCCTTCGGACTGCACGTGCAGGCCAGAGCCGGGGCGAGCAGTCGCCCACAGCACACCTAGCCCTGCGGTTGGGAGGTCGCTCAGTGGGAGCTCTCTAGTAAGCATCGGGCATGGAAGACACACCAATTTCCTGAAATCCTAGGATTTCAGGTGAAGTTAGCTTGGTAGAAATAATTATCACTTGTCAAGAGCTTGCAAATATCTCTTCTTCAGCCCTCGTAGCAATTCTTCGTGATGCAGACCATTATACATATAAAAGTGTCCAAGGTCCCCCAAAAGCCCCCATCAGGGTCCACCTATTGCTGCTGAAACTACTCCTGGCCAGAGAACAACAAGAAGCATTAGACCTATGGCCTTCTATGTTTTCCCCCTTGGGAGAGAGGCGTTTATCAGACACAATAAGTGGCCGGGTAGCTCGGCTGGTTAGAGCGTCGTTCCAGGTCAGGGTTGTGGGTTCCATCCTTGGTCAAAGCCCAGACAGGAAGCAACCAGTGAGTGCACGAATGATGCTGTCCCCTCTCCCCTTTCCAGAAGGGACAGATGAAGGGTCACTCAGGTTCTGGTGGAGGAGAATGCCTCAGGAAACACTAACTAATCATTTTGCTTCTTAGAGCACAGTAAAAATTTCCTTCTCACCTCTCCACCCGTGTACACACATATCTTTCTGTATGAAGTGAGAAGAGGTTCAGTTTGGTTTGAAGGAGGATGATCTCTCTTCAGATAAATTATAGCTCTCCCCATCATTCCGCTACTGTGGACCCCAAAAAGAGGCCGTAGGCTCACAACGTGGGCCTGTGTGCACACACCCCAAGGGCTGGTGAGACGGCCCAGTCAGTTGATCAGACAACTCGGGTCACCTGTTTTCTGTGATGCGGGTTGGCAGGGGAGTGGGCGGGTCATTTCCACGCCGCTGGGGAATGGGAAGGATTCAAAAGGACAACTGGCAACCTCTGGAAAATGTTAAATGGACTCAGAGAACTGTAGAGTTTTCATAAGAACAAGAAGTCTGGGTCAGACAGCATACTATGTTTTGTTTTAATATATGCAGCATCTTGTTTAATCCTCAACTCTGAAATATGTATGATTTTTAAACCTACTTTACAGAATGGAAAAGTGAGACCCAGGGGAATAAAATAATGCCCCAACACTGTACAGTTATTAAGCAGCAAGACAGGACTTATATCAAGGTCTATATGATTCAATCAGTATGTGTCAGGGAGAGAAGCCGCGTTCAAGGAAATTCCTGTGCCTGTGACTGAGGGACCTGCAGAGATCTGAGACGCTTTTGCCTCTGGGTCTCAGTGGCCAGTTTTTCAGAGAAGTGTGCTGCCTTAGACCTAAGTTGTAGGAAATGATGGTGCAGTAGAAGAAGTGATTGGGAAAGGCAGTAATGGCCGTTGGCGCGTGCCAACCTAGGCCAGACAGAATTGTGCAAAATAAGATTGTGTACCTACAATTTAACTTAATGGGTATGTAGCATAGATCCCAATATTCCTTTGCACAAGATTAAAATTGTACATTTTAAATGCTTCCAGATGGAGAGAGAGGCCTTAGCCAGATCCAAGAAGGGGGGGAGGAAGTTAAAGGGAAGAGGAGGAGCAGCTTGAATTGGCTGGTGTGGAGGAATGCAGAAAAAAGTACAGGGGACCCTCATCCCCAGTCCTGGGACAGACACTGCAGGCCCTGGGTGGTAGTAGTAAAGTCAGGCCCCAGGGAAACAGCTGGGGCCTCGGCCAGGAGCCCGGGAAGCCAGGTAGATTGATTTAAACCATCTGACAAGGAATAACCGGCGCCCTTCCCGTCTTCATTCCCCTACTGCACCCCACCCTGGCTTTCTAACTGTAACTTCCTAAGAAGATTCCAGTGCTGTGCTTGCTCTCTGCCAAGCATGGATCTTTATTTCACATTTGGGTTCTAAATTTCAAACCCAGCTCAGTCTGGTAGCTTTAATGGTGGGGTGGGGGAGAGGTGATTTAGTTCCAAGAAAAGAGGCTCAGAAACCTTCTTGGAAATCAGCATTGTTCCCTTCATCATTGTAACCCCTAATTCGATTTGATGAGTTAAATAAAAATAAATCAAAACCATGTGGATCAAATTTACATAAAAAACGCACAGGGGTTTAAAAATTAGAGGAAGGTTTCTAGCCAAACCTATTTTCAGTTTTGCTGAACACCAGGCGCTGGAAAAATCTCAAGTGTGCCAAACCCGAAGAGCAGCGCCAGGTTGCTGAGCCTCCCTCAGATCTCCCGAGGGCCACGGCCGGGCTTTCTGACCGAGCCCCGAATTCCACACGAGGCCCCACCAGCCAAGCACAGGCCTGCGGGTCAAAGGCGGGAGGTGGTTAACTCTCCCCCAGCCCCAGCACCTTGTCGTGCAGCAGCGTGAGGTGCAGGCCCCTCCTCCACGAGGGGAAATGGGCCCACCCCCATCACCATTCACCCTGTCCATGCCATCCTGAAAGAATTCAAGTGGAGAAGGAAGGGTGTGTGAACTGAAGGCTCGGGAGTCCAGACCCTCCACTTCTTCTTTTCTTCAGCTCACCCAGCCCAGCACACATGTCGTGTTGCAGGACGCAGACAGCCTGGCTCAGGCCTGCAGCCCAAACTTCCAGATGTTCGGGGCTCCACACCCCCTCTGGCTCGGGACCGGTCCTCCCTAGAGCTAGGATTCCTCTTACTGTTACTCATGCTTTCTGGCCTCCACTCTGAGACTGGGCTGTTGCCTTCAGCCCCCTTTTGAGTTCTCGGAAGAAAGGTCTTTTGCTGCCCGGGGGCCCGTTTGCAAAGCCACCCCCTCCTCAACGCAGCAGTCCCTCCTCCGGCCCCTGCCGGACTGGGCCGCAAGGAGCCCGATTTTCTCTTGGCTTTGTTTTTCTTCTCCTTAGTGTTATGGACTCCAGGCAGCTGTATTTTGTAACTCCAGTCCACTCGTTTAGCTCATTCTTGGTCTTCTTCACCAAGATACTATTTTTCCTTTCATCCGAAAGAAACGGCCTTCTCAAAGAGAAGGAGGAGCTCACGCTCCAGTATCTGAAGCCCAGCACCAGCGTTGCCCGTGGCCGCACGCGTTACTCCCGCCTGCCCTCCGCCGCCCCTCAGGTCAGGTGAAGACGCCTGTGTTGACTCGGTGTTGGGAGAAGCACACGGCAGGTCTCTGGGACTGCCTGGCACAAGGCCTGCCACATGGTCAGTAAACTCAAACCTTCCTTCCCCGCCGGCTTCTGGAAGGCTTCACGTTAGGCATTCCCAGGACTGACTTGCGTGTTGAGAGAGAATAACTCTTTTGCTTGGGACTCCCCTGTTGTCTCCCAGGAAAACAAGAATGATATTTAAGATCTCACATTGTCACCTTAACATTTACAGCCTTCAGATTCTTGGTAGCTTTTCTTATCCCCAGCCAAAGCCCCGCCTGGGGAAGGAGCATGGCTTACTCTGCCGGGCACTCTCTATGGTCTGGCTGATCTGCAGGAAACAGTGTCAGACTGTCGGCGTGCAGGGGCGTGGACCAGGGCTGCGCTCCATTAAGTGAAACAATAGGACTGTGTATACAAAGAGTGTGATCATAAGTAGGTAAAACGGGTATGTGTACAAATGCACATATACATGTCTATGTTTATGTAAATCTTGAAGTTTTCAAAAATGATAGCAGTAATTATCTTTGGGTAGTAGAAGAGGAAAACCTTGTTTTTAAAAAAGTTCCCAGACCCCTCCTTACCTTAGGAGGCGGTGTGTGCAGTGGTTAGGAACTCAGACTGGTAGTCAGTCTGGGCTCAAGCTCTGTCCTTCACTTGCTAGCTGGGTGACTGTGAGACAGTTTACCTAAATCTCAGCTTCCTCTTCCATTAAAAGAGGGCAGTGGGGTTGTTACACTCAAGAACCTATGGAACAAATGACATATATAAAGTACTTAGCACAGAAGATGGCATGATAAATACTAGCTCCTAGTTTCTCTTCACATTCCACTGAAACCACCAAATTTCCCAGGCTCTTTGCTTAGGGGTGAAGGGTCCAGTAGTGTTTATCGAACAGAACACTGGAGAAGATGTCCTCAGGGAATTAGAGTTTTTGGCTGGTTGGGAGGTGACACTAGCCAAAGAATAATTAGCTTATGGCTAATGATTCCTGCTGCCAGAGAGACCAGGGGAATTCAGAGAAGGGAGAGACAGCTAGGCCATCTGAAGACAGGCAAGATGCGGAACACAGGAAAAAGAGGAAGCAGCAGTGGGTCTGCTATGAAGTAAAATGTGCCTTACAGGTCGTAGAACTTGGAAGATTAGCTTAAGGGCCATCAGCCATAATAAAGCTGATTATTGTGGAGGGCCTGGACCCAGAGCGGTAGATAAGGTCTTTAGCGCAGGGAGCGGCAAGATAACGGTGGTGGTGGGAGTCTTCACCTGTAGCAGGGAGCCGGGGGAGCAGGCCGGCGAAAGGTGCAGACAGGGCGGCCATTGAGGAGCTGAGGCTCAGGACCCAGGGCGGGGAGGAGCTGAGCTGCGTGGGGGCTGTGAGAACTGAGGGAGGCCTCTCTGAGAGACATTTCAGAAAACAGTGTAACAACTGATGGCAGAACTGGTTTAAAGGGCAATGAGAAAGGAAGACTGTTGCTTATTACAGTCTGAAGAGGAAAAATAATTCCATGTTTGTTTCTGAATTTTCTGAACCAATGGGGGGGAAAGACTTAGGAGTCAGATGAAAATAACTTCATAGCTAGTGTAAAGTTAGATGAGAACCCATGGACTTCTTCAAAATGGACTTCTCCTTCTCCAGCCCCAAATTAAACTCACCCAGAGGACAGCTGTGGGCAGTCATCTGCCCCTGCCCCGCCCCCAGTTTCCCACTTGCAGGAAGACAGGAGCAGAGCAAGCAAGTGCTGCTTATGGACAAGTAGGGGACAAAGAGAAATCTTCAAGGGGCTCCTGTCCGGTGTCCTGTATCACCAATCCTGTAGGGAGAGGGAGCTGGGCAGTGTTACAGCGCAATATACCACCTTTGCGCCTTTGCTGGCTTGGCAAAAGCTATATATGCTGTATGTGAGTGCATCAAATCGACACGGTGTACACCTCAAACTTACACAATGTTATATATCGATTACAGCTCAAGAAAGCTGGAAGAGAAAAGGAAACTGCCAAATACAACTGCTCGGACTACCAGCATCTCCTCAGATGGAAACTCAGCGTTTTCCCTTTGCACAGGAGGACCCATGGTTTGTGGGGTTTGAAGTTTATTCAGTCTGGGCAGCTCAGTAAGAAAAAAAAAAACAACACACATATACCCTGGCTGGTGTGGCTCAGTGCATTGAGCGCAGGCTGTGAACCAAAGGGTCGCCGGTTCAATTCCCAGTCAGGGCACATGCCTGACTGGGTTGCCGGCCAGGTCCCCAAACCACCCCAAAACTTAGAATCTTAACAAAACAATTTATCATCATCTTTCAAAGTCCTGTGGGTTGAGTCCTGAGACTGGGCTCAGCTGGGTGGTGCTCCCCGGGAGTGTCTCACGTGGTCACAGGACGTTCGCTGGGGCCAGAGTCACCTGGAGTGCAGATGGGCCGCAAGTCCAAAACGGCCTACGCACGTGGCTGGCAGGTGATGTCGGTGTCTGCTGAGAGTTTGGTTGAGGCAGCCGTGCGTGGCCTCCCCCTGGGTTCCAGCTTCTCATGGCTTGGCAGCAGGATTCTGAAAGAAGGTATCCCAAGAACCAAGTGATTTAGGAGTCCCAGGCAGAAGCTACAAGGTTTTGTAAGACCAACTCAGAAGTGCCAGGACATCTCTGCCACATTCCAAGGTCTAGGGAGGCCTGAGGCTGGCCCAATTTGACGAGAGGGGAGTTGGGATCCGCCTGTCGAAGGGAGGAGCAGCGGGCTTGTGTACTGAGGGGAGGACTTGATGGCGGCCCTCTTGGGGACTCTACCACCACCTTCCTGTAGAAGTGCCCTCCCTGCTGAGAGGTCTTGAGGATAAAAGAAATGATCATCTATTTTTCCAGTGCAAACCAACAGAAGTTGATGAGTTAGCTGTTTAGTTAATTAAGAAAGGAAATACAGCTTGAAACGTAGAGGCAGATTTACAAAGAAACTAACTGAACTTACGTATCAGGGCCCTTAACTCATACCAGCCATTACTGAGTTCTGGTTGTTGCTGGGGGTGGTAGACTGTTCTAGAGAGAAAAAGCAAGGTTACAGTCAGGAATTACTTCTTTTGTAAGCATTTCTCAACAAAAAGGGACCTCAGTTCCCAAGATTCCTGTAACTTGATGTGATTTCTTTTCTCAGTCTTACTAAACATTAACAGTAGTATCTAAATTTTGTATTCGTAATTGTGGTTTTTAAAAAGATTTTATTTATTTATTTTAGAGAGAGGGAGAAAAATATCAATGCGAGGTTGCCTCTCACATTCCCCTACTGGGGACCTGGCCCACAACCCAGGCATGTGCCCTGACTGGGAATTGAACCGGCGACCCTTTGGTTCACAGCCTGCGCTCAATGCACTGAGCCACACCAGCCAGGGTATATGTGTGTTGTTTTTTTTTTTTCTTACTGAGCTGCCCAGACTGAATAAACTTCAAGCCCCACAAACCATGAGTCCTCCTGTGCAAAGGGAAAACGCTGAGTTCCCATCTGCGGAGATGCTGGTAGTCCGAGCAGTTGTATTTGGCAGTTTCCCTTTCTCTTCCAGCTTTCTTGAGCTGTAATCGATATATAACATTGTGTAAGTTTGAGGTGTACACTGTGTCGATTTGATGCACTCACATATAGCATTAACTGAACCTCCATCACCCCACATAATTACCCTTTGATTCCTGTGGTGAGAATATATCACATCTCTCTTAGCAACTTTCCAGTGTATGATACAGTATTGTGAACTATAATCACCATGCTATTCTTTAGTCCCCAGAACTTACTCATTTTTTAACTGGAAATTTGTAGCCTTTAACCAGTATCTCTCTATTGCCCGCCCCCCCACCCCAGTAACTACCAGTCTGCTTTCTGTTCCTATCAGACGTATTAGCATTTTTGTTGTCCTCTGCAGTCCCACACGTCTGCATCACCCCACATATCTGTCATCTCTCGTTGGGGCTGTGTGACCGTCTCCCACCACCAGCGCTTTGAAAATGTCTAGGGGCAGGGAGTCACTTAGGCAGAGTAAGGGGAAGCTGCTTTATTTACCTCTGACCGTCCACAGGGGAGACTTCGTGACTCAGCCTGTCTGTCTACATCTCTAGCTCACGAGTCTCTGTGAAAATCACTTGTGTGCATCCGTGTGTCATTTACCTGGGTTGTTCCCATTGAGTGACTTGAGACTTGCCAACCAGCTTTTTGAATAAAACCGAATTTGAAATTTACTTTGATACACACCGTTCATGGCCACACAAAGGGAGCCAAACTGTATGCTGTGTCAGACATTTCCTCTCATTGGAAATTATTTCCCTTTGCTGTCCTCCTAAAAAGTAATTTCACTTGAATTTTACCGTTAAACATGCAGTATTTTCTTTTTGAATTAATGCATCTAGGAATAGTTTGAGAACTTTGTTTAAAAATGCAAACCCCTGGAATCCATTTCCTGGAACATCTAAATCACTTGGTATGGGGAGGATCCTAGGAATTTTCACATTTTTAGACAATTTTGAAACAGGTGCTCCAAAGGCCTCTCTTCCACAACACGGTCTCAGAGCCGTTCTTCGGTGTGATGCCGGATCTCCCCTTGCAGGACCCTACAGTGGGCGGCGATATGTGCGTGCTTCATTCTCAGTGCATGCAGCTCCCTGCCAGGCCCACAGAGTCTGCTCACGTCCTCGTCCACCGGACACAGGGCTGCCGAGGCTGGGGCTGCTTCCCGCCCCAGTTATCCTGCCGAGGCAGGATAACTGTTCTTTGCCACCCAACAGTGTCCCGGAGGAGAGCAGGGATGATTGTGTCTCCTCTTGTAAAGCAAGAGACACAGGAACCTGCTCTCCGAGTTCTCTGAACACCCACCACTGTGAAGAGCCCTGGGAAGGAGTGACACGCTGCAGTTACTTGCGCCCTGATTGGCCAGAAGTAGCAACTAGAGCAGCAGTTAATAGCAATTAAGAGCAGCAGTTATTTCATTATTAATACATCAGGTGACCATATAATGTGTCCTTTCAGGACATTTTTGAGAATCAAATGGGACACTATTAATAATAAAACAGCACAAACCGAAGGTCTCTCAGGCAAACAGGGACGTACAGTGCCACATTCAAAGTTCTAAAGGTTGAGCTTTTGGGGGTTGGCCACAGGGGTACAAGGGACAAGACTTGGGACTCTGTTTTCTGTGACCTAATGGCAGCCTTTACCTTGGGAACGACTTGACATTTCTGCCAGGAACACTACTGAGAGGCCCGATCGCTGTTACTTTAAATGAGACCTTTAGCACTGAACCCCAGGTCTCTCTCTCACAGGCTGGGATTGCTTTCGACCCTCATCTCTGTAAATGGGCATTTTAGAGGACACAGACTCACTCCTCCAACAATTAATGAGCTAGAATCAGGCCCATTTGTTCAATGATTACTCAAGGAGCATTTGATTCTGTGATGAACAAGCCGCTAGAGGCCCGGAGAAGGGACCGCAGGGACACCCACCATGTGAGGTGCATAGTCCTCCCTGTAGCTTCTTGACCCCCCTGAGTTGCAGAGCCCCAGACTCCTATGGAGCAAACGGAAGCCCACGCTCTAGCGGCCAGCCAGGCCCTGGGTGCCCTGTAGGCTACTCTTCACATGACCTAACATTTTAGATGCTTTAGAAACTTCCTGAGATATTAGATGGTAGCCACCCTCCAAAGTCAAGTGTTTACTTTGTAGACTCCAGAAGAAAAAAGAAACCCTCAAGCATATCTGTGGTGTATTTAAAGTATAAAATTATAGCCACAGCCAAAACAGCCAGCTCCTTTTGGGTTGCATGAGCAGCCAACATATTTGTAATACTTACATGTCCCTTGATTCACTTACAGTCAGACACTTTGAGGTCATGCGGTCAATCACATCAAGGTCTAACCCATCCTATGATGAAAGGGTAGGAGATTGTTAGAGCCATAAGCATCCCCTGTGGCCACCTAGTCCTGCCTAACCTTTCATTTCACACAAGGAGACACTGCAGATTTGAGAAGTCGTGCCTCATCCCTCCCCGCTTCCCAGCGGAAATCTAGCACGTTAGCCGAACCGAACCGAACCACAGAAGGCCACCGAGCACACAGCCCTCTTTCACACCCCAGCCTCTGGGCCCTGCAGCTCTGCCATGTAAGGCATATGATGTCCAACTCTGCTCCCTGACACTTTATCTGATGACTCATGACTTCACTCTGCGTCCCCAGCAGGGGTCAATAGACAGAAATGCAAATAAACTCAGTGGTTATGCCCAACTATTAAGGGACAGAGGTGGGTCTCAACCCAAGTCTTTTGCCACCAAATTCAGGTGTGCTTCATGACATCATATAGTGGAGACAGAATCACAAGAGACTGTCTGGATGCAATCTTTGTGCCAGAATGCCAGTACTGAAATACTCTACTTTGTTGGGCCACGAGGAGACAGGCTTGGGTTTTATTTCCTTCTGGTACAAGTGCCACATTCAAAGTTCTAAAGGTTGAGCTTTTGGGGGTTGGCCACAGGGGTACAAGGGACAAGACTTGGCACTCTGTTTTCTGTGACCTAATGGCAGCCTTTACCTTGGGAACGACTTGACATTTCTGCCAGGAACACTACTGAGAGGCCCGATCGCTGTTACTTTAAATGAGACCTTTAGCACTGAACCCCAGGTCCCTCGAGCCCGCTCTTACCTCCTTTCATCAGCTGGGTCACTTTCGGGTGCATCACCCTGAGGTCAGTACCTTAAGAAGTGACATGCAGTGCATTAGAATTTGTAATTACGCTCATTATCTCATGTGCTCCTTATAACAGCTTTGTGAGAGAGGTAGACACAGGTAGTACAGTATTTGTTAGCTTTCTTGATTTTTTTTTCAATTTTTTTAACAGTGATTTCAGAGATGAGAAAATCAACAGCTTGTCTCAAGTCCCAGAGCTGGTGAGAAGCAGAGACTGGAGCGAGGCCTTCTGGCAGCAGAGGCAGGGCTCTTGCTCCTAAGGAAAGCGGGGCCTGCGCTGCAACAGCTCATCGAGGATGTAAAAGGGAAGGAAGGCTTGGAGAATCCGCTGAGCTGACCAGGATGTGAAAGCTGCTAGGGCTTCCTAGGGAAGCAGCCGAGATGTGGCGAATGAAAGAACTGATGGATTCTTTTTAAAAGTAGTTTTAAGCCAGCATCAGCTTACAGCAGTGTGAGCTCTCTTAACATGCCACTGAAATTTCATCTGTAATAGAGCAAAGATACAAACATGTATTAAACAAATGCTAAAACAGCAGCCTGCAGCTGAACACTAAGTGGACGTGTGTATTAAAGAGAGGCTTGTCACGGGCTCTTGTGTAAAATGGGTGGCCGCTGATGGCATCAAGGATGTCTCAGTGTTCTGGAGCTGAGGGCCCTGCAAGAGTGGTCAGCACGCGGCTCATTCGCGGCACCTTAACCGAGGCTCCGGAGTCCCCTGCCCCGCACTCACTCCTGCTCCCTCCCTAGCACGGATGGTTGTTTGTTAGCAGCTCCACCGAGGACAGGAAAGGAGAAGGAACGAGTCTGCTACTTCTGTTAAATGTCAGCGTGTTACATTTTCACGACTGCAGGAGTTAACAAGCTAAGTGGTTTGGGTCACTCTGAGCTAAGGGGTCTTCTGAATGGATCTCCTACGTTGAGTCTTTTTTCATTCCTTTCTTTGTCCCCTGTTTACTCTTTGTCTCAGCAAATGTGTCCTGCAGATCTATTATGATTCCTACTGTGGAAGATACTGCTGGGCCCACAGAAAAAAATGCAGAACCGTTATCTCTGGCTGCCAGAGGGTGAACTTGGGGTGGCGGGGAGATGAGATAACTGACTCCCAGGTGTTCACTGTAAGCAGGACAAGGGTGAGTGTCCAACAAGGAAAATGCTTCCCTCCATTACTGTTTGAATGGCCACCAAGTACAGGGCTCTGGCTCTGCTGTGGCGACAGAAACAAATAGGACAACTTGGAACTTAGCCCTAGGAGCTTACTGTCTAGAGTGGCGGAGGGGGTTGTGTGCCTGAGGAAGGGCACACAGTGAGTTTTCCACGTGTGGTTCCCCCACCACCTACGTCGGAAGTCCCTGGTCCATATTTAAATGGGCTGATGCCCGGGCTCAGGGGTACACAATCAGAATGTTTAAAAGTGGACCTTTGGAATCTTAATGTAACTAGCACAGAGCAGTTCTTAAACACATAAAAACTGGAGAAAGACTGACCTTGTGGATGAGACAGACAGGTGGACCAAGGTGGGTATAAATAGGCAAATACCATGTCAATGGGCATGAAAGGATGGTGACCGCAGAGGACCTCGGCAAAGAAAGATGCTGCTCGTTGGTCTTCCGCAGGGTTGCTTTGGCAGCAGAGGGTACCAGACACACTCTCAGAGAAGAAGGGAGGCATGAGAAGGGAACTGTAGGAAATCAGCTCACTGGTTCAGATCTCTCCAAACAGAGGCTTCCTAAAGAGGCCCATCAAAACCACACCTTCTGAAATGACTCTGCTGTCACTCTCCTTACCCTGCCTGATTCTTCTTCAGAGCACCTACCATCTGACATTGGAATTTGTCTCTCATCTACTAGGTTAGAAGTGATGAGAGGCTTTGTCACCTTTGTTCACAGCTGTATCTCCCTCCAGTGCCTGGAGTAGTTGGCACGTAGTAAATGCTCAGTAAACACAGAACGAAGGCTCCAGAGGGCAGATAGATCCACCTGGGCGTCCTCTCTCAGCTGTTCGAGTTAAATTGCTCTGAGAAGCTGCAAGAATCTCAAAAATTCCTGTGGCCTTTCTCTCCCTTCCTTGGCAGATGGTAGCATGAGGAAGGAGCCACCGGAGGCCCTGACCATGACCCACAAGTCCCCTCAGACAAACTTGGCATAATATGCCTCTCCCCTGCAGAAACTCACTTCCTGATTTCTGAATCCCAGGGAGCCGCAGAGCCCATTAGTTTCATGTGAGGCTTCCTGGAACATTGAGAAGCTATTTAAGGAATTGAACAGGGAACTTTAAGGAGATGAATGTGGCTTGACCGAGGAGGGCCAACTACGGCTTCGGAGAGGGGAGGTCAGGACTCCAGAGCCTGCTGGAATCCTTTGAAGCCCTTGCCACTGGGGAGGACGAGCAGGCAGGATGTCTTGCATGGAAGTCTAATTTTCCTGAAAGCCTTCCCACAAAATGTTCTGCATCACAGGTTCATGTATAAGACGTAGTTGTAAGTGGAAAGTTGGCATGCTTTGGAAATTGGCTAAAGGGCAGGAAAACAATGGGGAGCAGTAACAAACCTAAAAGGATGTTAATTAGGGAGTGCCTGGGGGATCCAGTTGAGACCAGCTTTTTATTATTTACATAAAAATTACTTGGGTAGTAGTCCTGAAAGGGATTTTCATGTTGCCTAATGAAACTGCAGTAGAGAACTGTGTGTGAAAATGTGAATAGTGGAATTGAGGGAGGATTCAATTTTTTGACGGAATTGCAAAGGAATGTTTTCTAACATACTTCTATTTATCAGCCCACACCCATTCTGTTCACCAGATTTACAGTTGAGTAGTGGGCAGGGAAGCTTCAGCTTGAACAACTCAAATCTCTGTATTTTGGGGGCCAGCAGAAAGTACTTGAAGAAATTTTAGCATCCTACACACAGGGCAGGTCCTGAAATTAAATGGGTGTTATATTCATCTCCAGAAACCTCTCTTTTCAGGGGAGCTGGAAGGCAGATAGAATCTGCTCTTTAGCTACAAGTGTAAGGTTGGGCCACCTAACACCCACATCCACCCACTTCCCTTTACTTAACATTTCTATCGTGTGGAGCTCATATTATCACAGAAACTCATTTTAGGCATACCCCAGTAGGGAGCTAGCAGTCTCTCCTAAAAGTATTGCACACACAGTGAGCCAGGACTTGACGTGGGGAGCCCAGGAGTGACACTTGCTACCTTCTCTATAGCTTGCCCCAGGGATAGTCTATGTAGACATCATGGAGACCACTGAGCATTAAATGATCTGCGCCTCCTTCATCATAGACCAAAACATACAAAGCAACCACTAAGGATCCTAGAGTGGCCTTATCTCCCCCACAGACTGAGAGCTTTGAAGAGAAAGATGCTACTCATCTTTATGCTTAGAGCACCTGGCCCAGAGCTGGCCCTTAATTAATGTCTGTGGAATGGATGTGCAAAGGACAGACGGAAGCAAGCAAGCAAGCCTCTGGGCACTCTTCTGGCCAGCACAGCATCTGGTGTTGGTCAATGTTCCAGCTGCATCTCAGGCATTACAGTTCTTCATAGTCAAACTATTGGGGCCAACTGTCGGGCCCCATCTGTCTGTACTGCCAGTCTCCAAAGGAGGCCACCCTGGCCACAAAGCTTGCTGCACAATCAAGTACCTCACAGTGCATGCCTGCAAACCATGGGGCAGGGTGGGACAAGGGGAGGGAAATCCGAAGTCAGTCTCCTAGGGGGGATAATGTGCCCACTTCTTAAGCAGGAGTATTCCCGTTCGTTGCAGGTAAGAGTCTACGATCTCTCCAGATACGAGCATGGAGCAGATGACGTGCTGATCCTGGCAACTGATGGACTGTGGGATGTTTTATCAAACGAAGAAGTGGCAGAAGCAATCACTCAATTTCTTCCTAACTGTGACCCAGATGACCCTCACAGGTTTGTGCATTTCTGTGATTACAGGGTTGCTTCTTGACGGTGTTTCATAATGTGACTGAAATTAGTAATAATCATGCGTTGTCAACATTCATGATGCATAGCAGAGCTAACAGGGAGGGCTTAGTGACCAGACTATAGGATGGACTACATTGACTAGCTGTAGAAGTACATCACAGCCAAATAAAAATCCTCCTGAAGCTGCCCTGGCTGGTGTAGCTCAGTGGATTGAGCGCGGGCCTGCGAACCAGATGATTGCAGTTTGATTCCTGGTCAGGGCGCATGCCTGGGTTGCAGGCCAGTTCCCAGCAGGGGACACATGAGAGGCAACCATACATTGGTATTTCTCTCCCTCTCTCCTTCCCTTCCCCTCTAAAAATAAATGTATAAAATCTTTTTTAAAAAAATCCTCCTGAAGTTGAACGGTCCAAGCGGTAAAGAATTTGATTTATAAGATATTTTAATATCTTAGTTCATATCCTCCAAAAGGGGAATAATTTGTGCTCCTTCTGACAAGACTGATAGCAAATGCTCCCAGTATGTATTTTTATCTACTGAGGAACTGTTTCTTTTGAGAAATATTGAGAAAGGAGAAAATTAAAGTAGATATTTTCTTACAGCGTAATGGCAGTATAACTGTCCTAGACAACCCTAGGTGACTCTCAGATATGAACAGAAATCCCCTCTGGAGAAACAGTTTTCACTTAAAACACAAGAACATGAGTCACCATGAATAAAAGCCAGCAGAAATGACAAACAGCAGAGTTAGACCTGTAAACACTTCATTTTTGGATTTATCCATCAAAAATATAAATAAATATTTTAACATTTCAGAAATTTTTAAAAATATTGAAAATATGACCAAGGATTAAAAACTATAAAATATCTGCGCTTTTAAAATAAGGAAATGGAACTTCTGGAGATGAAAAATATAAAAACAGGAACTAAAAAGGTCACTGGATTACAGGGATCAGAGATGATTGAAGAGAACACTAGTGAGCTGGGAAATAGGTCTGAATAATCCAGAGTGTGGCTCAGAGACAGAGAGAAGGAAAAATGTGAAGTGAGATTAAGAGACTAGGAGGATAACCTGAGAACATTTGAAAGATGCTATCCCCATATTGATCTGTAGAGTCAGTACAGTTATAACCAAAATTCCAATGGAGTTTTCATGGACAGAACTTCATAAGCAGATTCTAGAAGTACATGGAAGGACAAAGTGCCAAGAATGTTTGTGACATTGCCGTATGGGTTTACCCTTCTAGATATTAGACAAAATCAGAACAATTAAGACAGTGTAGAAAAATATAAAATTTCACCCTGGCTGGTATAGCTCAGTGAATTGAACACAGGCCTGTGAACCAAAGGGTCGCTGGTCTGATTCCGAGTGAGGGCACATGTCTGGGTTGCAGGCCAGGTCCCCAGTAGGGGGTGCCTGAGAGGCAACCACACATCGATGTTTCTCTCCCTCCCTTTCTCCCTTCCTTCCCTCCTCTCTAAAAATGAATAAATAAAATATTTTAAAAACATATATATAAAATTTCTTCTCTCATACTGTACACTAAAATTGTCCAGGGAAATTAAGACAATATAAAAAGTAAAATTAATACAACTTTTATAAAATAGCATATATTATAGGAGACTATCCTTCTGATCTCAGAGTTGGGAAGGATTTCTGAAACAAGACAAAGAAAACACAAACAATGACTGATTGGTAAGCATAAAGCAATGAAAGCACAAATCAGTGACTGAATGTGGCCTTGCCTACATTAAAATAACCAAGTTTGGTTCTTCAAAAGACAAAGAGAGTAAAATGGCAAGCCATGAAGTGGGAGAAGATTTTTGCAACTTACACAACTGAGGAGGGAATGATAGCCATAAAATACAGTGAACTCTGACAGATCAAAAAAGATGATTTAAAAAAACAATACAAAAATTAGCAAGAACCAGTCATCACAAAGAAGAAAATTAATGGCCAATAAATACATGATCAAGAACATTCAACTTAAATTGAGCAGCGCAAATTAAAAGTATGTGGAGGACTGAAGATAGTTTTGTGAACTCGTAGGAAGATCCTGCAGATGTCAGTGTACGTGGTGGGGTTGAGCACGCACCCCGACCTCCTCCTCGGTCTACGCCCAGGAGTGCTGGGCCTGAAAGTGGGGTCTTCGGGGCCACGTGGTCCCATCATCAGAGAACTTGTTGGAAATGCAGATTCTCAGACCCCACCCCAGATCTACCGAATGCAACCCCAGTGGTGGGAGCCAGGGGTTTGTGTTCTACCAAGCCATCCAGGGGGTTCTGGCTCTGCTAAAATTTGAGTCATGTAAAAAGATGTCCACAGAATTGTTTAATTACAAAAATGAAGCATTGTACACGTCCAAACATACAACAGATAAATAAAGAATAGACTACAGCTCAGAACATGAACCAAATCTGTGCCCATTAACAGGGCAGAATCTCAAAAACCAAGTTGAATTTAATAAGCAAGCCAGAAGAATACACATATTATGATTCTATATACATGAAGTAGAAAACTAACGATGTGTCATTTAGAGGTATAAATATTAAAACTTTAACAAAAACCAAGAGAATTAACCCAAGATTCAGGATAGTGGCTTCCTGGGGAGGAGAGGTGGCAGAGGGGATAGATATGTGCTTGAGGAGGGGCGCACAGTGAGCTTCTAGGTACCTGCTGGAGATGTTCTGGTTCTTAGCCAGATGACGCGTATGTGGTGACTCGTGATATTTTTAAACTGTGCCTGTGTTCCATACACTCGTCTGCACGCAGACTGAGAGGCAGTGTCGTCCAGTGGTTAATGGCATGGAACCTACAGTCAGCCTGCCTGAGCTTAGATTCTGGTTCCGTTCCTTTTGCGCTTGTGACCTTAGGGAAGTTTCTTATTCCTTTGGTGCCTCAGACTCTGCGTCTGTAAAACGGGGGTTCCATAGTACCAGCCTCACACACGGGTATCAAGTGAAGTGCCTGCCATATTAGTATGCACTAGCCACTGTCCTTGTTGTTTGTTCCTATTTCTGTATGTGTCACATACTTCACAACAATAACAAAAATCGCTTCAGAAAAAAGTGAGGCCAGACTGTCTCTCTTCCTCGAGTTGTCTGGTATAACAGTTTTGCTCAGGTGCAAAGGAATTAACAGTACTGCAATTAAGGATTCTTTTATTTAAATTTGAATGTATTTTTCTCCGGTTGAGTTTTTAGTTTTAATCTGTGTTTTATATCCTGCTTGTTAGCAACATTCTTATGTTGATTTTCTCTACTGTGATTATTTTTATAAAGCTTTGCAAAGCGAGCTGACAGGTACAAGTGAAAAGGCACCCCACACTTTTTTTTTTTAATCTCTCCAAGCCGGCCTGGTCTTGCTCACCAGCCTGTCCCTCTCCATGGCAACAAATCTGCCCTCCAGGGAGTGGTGACCTATGGGCAGTGATGTCACTGGGCAGGTGCATGCCAGGCCAGAGCAGGCTGCTGGGTTCGTGAGAAATGTCACCATTGCAGCCGGGCTTACAGTGACCTCCATGGAACAGACAGGGCCGAGACAAAACAGTCTTCAGTGTGCCTTTCAGGGAAGACTGTGAAGCAAAGCCAGAGAAGGAGTCTTGTATCAGACAAACGAAAGAGTTGAAAGGAAAAGCTACAAAAGGAGCACAGTTTTATTGGTAACACACAGAATACGAGGCAGAAGGGCAGAAAAACTCTGGTTGCTTTTTGAGATCTCAAGACAGTCAGAACTTTGGGGTGAAGCTACTCTTCTTTGCCAAAAGACTGTCATCCAGGTTCATTCATTTAGGAGTTAGGACCTATTTTATGAGCCAAGGCCTCTTAGACCCTGGGGAAGGATCTGAAGAAAAACAGACCCGGTCCCTGCCCTCCTGGAGTTTAAAGTCCAGAGGGGGTTGCAGAAGCATAAGGAAGTTACAGTGCTAGTGGATAAATACAGATAAGCCAGGAAATGTCAGGGCGTGTGGAACTGCAGAGGGGGAACATGGCACATTCAGAGAGCTCAGCAGTCGGTGTGGCTGACTCAGTGCGCAGTAGTGTCGCTGGCTGAGGGGTACGAGGTGAGCAGGCCAGATCGTGGTGGACCTTATGAACTCACAAGGTTAACAAGATGAACATTACTTGTAGGAAAGGATGTCTGTGATACAGAATTTATGCAATCCTATATCCCTAATCAGAAAACATTCTGTAAAATCTGATGGCAAAAACATGAGATGTGAGTTTCTTCTCTCCTCTGTGCTCCTTAGTGATTTAAACCATGTTGGAAAATCAGAGAAACTTAATTTGTTATAAAAGCACAACTTAGGAATTATATAAAATGTCCTCTTCCATGTGTGAGGTATTTGCACATATCTGTGTGTGACTTGAAAGGAGGGCACCAGACTCCATCCGTGGCTAAAGCCCTGACGGCAGGAGGTTGCCTGACGGTGCCCTGCTGACAGGGAGCTGTTCTATCTCGTTATGCAAAACAGACACATGAGTGGAAGTCAGTCATCCTCATCAATCTGAGTCTAAATCATAATTTCTGTGATGAAGAAAGACCCACTATAGTTCCAGAGGCTGTATGGGCCCTTCCTCAGCCAGAAGGACCCATTTCTCCCCAAATCCAGTCCAAGACCACAGGTTGCCTGTTTAGTCTTGGGAGCTAGGGGCTGGAGAGCTCCTGGGTCCAAGCCCGAGGAGGCAGCCGCAGGAGGTCAGCCCGGTGTGTGACAGAAAGTGAGAAAGGAGAGAGGTTCTCCCCAGGAGGGGGAGCCTGAGAGAGGAGAGACGACAAAGCGAGCGAGAAGAACAACCAAATGTTTCTTCATTTGAGGTTTTGAATGGGCCTGTGTGACTTAGAGTTTTGTCAGGTTCACCCAGTTTTGTCTAGAAATTTAGCAGGACAGAAAAGGCAGTGCCTTAGCCCTGTGACATTCAGGACTTTTGGCTTTTGCTCTTTGATTATTTGGCTTTGTTTGTATTATATGTAGGGTTTTTTT